CGCACCGGCGTCCGCCCAGCCGGGGGCGGTGACCACAAGGCTCTCAGCACCTCCGGCGAGGACACGCTGAGCGACTCAGGTAAAGACCACGCAGGGGTCGGCTGCCTTCCTGGGGTGCAGGCGTGGGGGTGCGCGCCCTTTGTCACTGTGCTGGGTTTAGGCTTTGATGGGGAGCGTTTTGGAAGTAGTGATGAAGGCTGAGGGTTGTTTTTTTGTCAAACGGACCCCCAGGATTAGGAGGAGAGGTTGAGTGAGAGTTGCTAAGAGGGTGTTATCCAAAGTGTCACCTTCATTGAAAGTTCCTTCTACCCTCTGGGGGCCCGACTCCATCAATGGCCCTCATCCGGTCTAGTTGCCCACTTCTCTGCAGCATAAAATCGGTAAAAAGTGGGTAGGAGGTAACGGGGCCGCTGGCTGCATTGCTTGGGCAGAAACCCGTTAGCCCTGGGGCGGGGGAGAGGGATTTGACCCAGGTCAGGGGTGGGAAGACACCCCGAGAAGACACAGGCATTGTGCAAAGTCCTGTGCAGGCACAGAAAGTTAGAGGGAGATTGCGCAGATGGCTAGTAGCAAATTTACTTATTTTTTAAACCTGGGTGCTCTTCTCTCCCTCCCTTTGTGGGTGGTGGGCTACTTGCTCCTGGTAGGTGGCCAGCAGGCGGCGATATCCCAGGGAGGCGGAGGCTCTGAATGGCTGGGGGTGAAGGGACCACCCCTGCCTCCCTCCAGCAGCTGGCGGCAAGTCCAGCAGAGGTTGTGTACATTCCCAAGGGGCCGCTTCTTCACGGCCGCAGTGAGACTGGGTCCAGTTTTGTCTCCGAGCCAGAATTTCCAGGACTAATTTCTGATCCGAGTTGGGTTTTGTAACCCGGTGTCCTTCGAGGTGAGGGCGGGCACTGGGCTGGCCCTCCAGGAACTCACACGCCCTAGAAGCACTCATTGATAAGTTCTATTGTGTGCCTCGGTCTTGGAGGGTAGGGTTAAAAGGAAGACTGCCTGGGGCCCTTGGAGGTAAAGAAAGAACTCTTCCCCAAATACTCAAAACAGCCCTTGTTTTGGGGGCTGGGAGCTTGTGTTCCTGGAATCTCGAAGCCCAGTGTTTTCAGAATGCAGGCGGATTAAAGGCCTAAATTTCCTCCTGGGCCGAGGACGGATTCCTCTGAGGCTCCTGGAAGGAAACTTGGTGATAAGCCTCCAGTTTGAAGCTGGTCTGTCCCTTTAATGTCTGTGCCTTGACAGCTCTCGGTGAGGAAGCACTTCCTTCCAACAGCTGTCTTCTTGGCAGAAAACCAAAACATGGGCTTAAAGGGACCCACAGGCTGCAGCAGCCTCACATTTCGGCTTCAGAACAAATCCTACAATTGTTGAGCTTTCCGGTCCCCTTCAGATCAAGCAGCAGCAGTGTTTTGGTTTTTCATGCTTGCATTTTTAAACAATAATTTTCTATCCCGGCACGTAGTAAATGAGGAGGGCGGGGGGGATGATGTTACACGCCTTTGCTGCTGGCCTTTGCTGCTGCCGTTGTTACTGGCCACGGAGCAGAGGTGCTCCCATGTTTGGGTTTAGAGCGCCTGTGGATTAGGACTCGCTAGTGAAGACGGGATGTCTGCTAGATGAAAACAGGGCTTCATTAAATTGTTCTGTAAGTTTGTTTAAGGGCCTAAAATCAAACGCAACCAAGTGTAGAATTGCTAAATGAGGAGTCTCAATTCTTAAATGTCGAGATGGAAATATGAATAAGTGTAGGGGGTAGACTGGCAATGGCGTTAAAAGCTACCATTTACTGAGCATCTGTGTACCAGGCCAGCTCTCTACATATTACAGGTCCATCTCAAGAACCTTGTGGTTTTGGTCCCATTTAATAGCAAACTAAGGCTTGCAAAGGTTTAGTGACTTGCCCAGGATCACACAACTAGTGTGTGATGGAGCCAGGATTCTGTCTCACTCCAAAATCCAGGTTCTTTCTATGCCTGCCACCTGCTTGAGTCTGGAAGCCGAAACTGCTAGGAATATTGGGGAAGGAAAAGATCTAAAGTACATTAATTGAAAAGATCTAAAGTACATTTCTCTTCCCATCTCTGTTGATGGAACCATAATAATAGCAAAATGCGCCAGGGCCTGGAAGAGGCGGTACAGAGGGAGAGAAAGGTTCTTGTGTCTCACTCTGAGAATAACTCCCATCTTGTTCTTGAAGATGACGAAGATGACGAAGAGGAAGACGAAGAGGAGGAAATCGACGTGGTGACCGTGGAGAAGCGGCGGTCCTCCGCCAACAGCAAGGCCGTCACCACCTTCACCATCACCGTGCGCCCCAAGAGCGCGGCCCTGGGCCCGGGGAGAGCCCAGCCGGGGGACCTGATCCTCAAGCGCTGCGTCCCCATCCACCAGCCGCACAACTACGCCGCGCCCCCGCCCTTCGTGGAGAGCGAGGAGGCGCCGCCCCAGAAGAAGATGAAGAGCGAAGCGTCTCCCCGGCCCCTCAAGAGCGTCATCCCCCCGAAGGCCAAGAGCTTGAGCCCCCGCAACTCCGACTCGGAGGACAGCGAGCGCCGCCGGAACCACAACATCTTGGAGCGCCAGCGCCGCAACGACCTGCGGTCCAGCTTCCTCACGCTCAGGGACCACGTGCCAGAGCTGGTGAAGAACGAGAAGGCCGCCAAGGTGGTCATTTTGAAAAAGGCCACCGAGTACGTCCACTCCCTGCAGGCCGAGGAGCACCAGCTGCTGCTGGAGAAGGAGAAGCTGCAGGCCCGGCAGCAGCAGCTGCTCAAGAAGATCGAACACGCTCGGACTTGCTAAACGGTTCTCCAACCTGGACAGTCACTGCCACTTTGCACATTTTGATTTTTGTTTTTGTTGTTTTTTGTTTTTTACATTGTGTTGACATTAAGAATGTTGGTTTACTTTCAAATCGGTCCCCTCCCCCCCGTCGCGTTTGGATCTGGGTGGGGAGCAGGACATGTGGGGTTGGTTCTGCCAGGACCTGGGAGAGAGGGCCTGGGTGATGGGATGCTGTGCGGCCCTTGACGTTTCCTCTGCGTCGCCTCCAAGACAGCCGTGGGAGTGCGTGACAGTTGGGAGCCTCTCGGGCTGTTGAAGTCACCTTGTTGCAAGTCTCCAAACATCAGAATGTCATTCCTTTTAAAATGGTGCTTACGTTCGTTCCAGCCGATGCCACGGGAGGGGTTTGCCATTGAGACCCCCGAGGACACTTCTGTAAATACCACTGACACACCCGCCTTTTGTATGCGTCCGGGTAATGAGAGGTGGCTTTTGTGGCCAGTATTAGACTGGAAGTTCATACCTAAGTACTGTAATACCTCAATGTTTGAGGAGCATGTTTTGTATACAAATATATTGTTAATCTCTGTTATGTACTGTACTAATTCTTACACTGCCTGTATACTTTAGTATGATGCTGATACATAACTAAATTTGATACTTATATTTTCGTATGAAAATGAGTTGTGAAAGTTTTGAGTAGATATTACTTTATCACTTTTTGAACTAAGAAAACTTTTGTAAAGAAATTTACTATATATATATGCCTTTTTCCTAGCCTGTTTCTTCCTGTTAATGTATTTGTTCATGTTTGGTGCATAGAACTGGGTAAATGCAAAGTTCTGTGTTTAATTTCTTTCAAAATGTATATATTTAGTGCTGCATCTTATAGCACTTTGAAATACCTCATGTTTATGAAAATAAATAGCAATTAAATGATGCAGCTTTTTTTTTTCACCCCCTTAATGGCATGCGAGTTAGAGTATCCCTAAAGCAGTGACCTTCACAGCACATAACTTACAGAGGGAATCCTGGTTGGGGAGGGAGGGGCTGTTGTCCCCACCTGGGGGTGGAGGGAACTGTGCTTAGAAAGGTGTTAAGACATCTCTTCCAGGCTCCACAGAGTAGGGATATTACTAGTGTCTGCATTGTAGCAATGGCACTCGATCGTTTACAAAGCATTTTCCTTGTTGAATATTTCATGGAATTAAAGTAGGATGTCAGCCGTGGGCCATTTACTTAGTTACCTACTTTTTTATAGACATGGATCCTTTAAAAGTAAGAAGTAGTCAAGACAAGGTAGTGCAATTGGCTGTATTGGTGTTGGTCATACTTGTCCCATTGGCAGGTGGCTTTACATTTTGGTGTCAAGTATAGTTTGTCTCCAAGAACGCATCCTTCCAAATTCAGTGAACTTGGAAGGTTCTAGGCTGGCCGGGCCCTGTAGCAGAATATACATGAAGTTGTTCTCTCAAGGAGCTCTCAATCTGATTCACAGAAGTAACTCAAGAAGTGACAGGCGTGTGGCCCAGATCCAGCGACATGTCCCTTCAGGAGAGTCAGCGGGTGTAGTGTGCTCTGTCCACTTGCAGCTCCTGTCACACAAGCTGGCATTGGGGCTGCCCCGAGGAAGCAGGACCCACCAGTGCAGGCTCTGGAGGACAGCCAGGGCCAAAGGGTGGGGGGCAGGCACCTGGGCGAGGAGGGAGTTTCATTTTCCCTGATGGGAGGTGACACCCCCTCTGGGGAGGCCTGGGAGGTATTCTACTTAGACCTGAAAGCCTGTACAAACCTATTTCTCACTCAGGTGAAAGGTACTGGGTTATTTTTCTAAGATTTCATCCTGATTTTTAGCTTTGAATTGAAAAGGGCCTTTTGCTTTCTTTGAGAAGAAAACGGCCAGGGATGAGAATATGCTTTACTTGTCTGGTCACAGCTTGGCGGGGGGGGGGGACGACAACCGGAGCCTGTCTGCTTTGGCCTCTTTATAGAGGCCAGTGGGAGGCTAGAACCTCCTTACTCTGTTCACAGCCACACATCTCAGAGCTCTGAGGCTGGTGCTGCCATGGACATTGCTGATGGCCAGGCCATCCCCACACTAGAAAAACAAGGAACCTGCTTTGAAAGTCCATTTTAAATTGTCATTCAAAAGGCTTCCTGACGATCTGCACTTTATGAGACTCTAATCACCTTGTTTGTGTAATCCTGAACCAAAGGAAAGATCAGTGACCTCAACTTTGAGGTCACTGAGCACCTGAGGTGCCTAGCTTCTCTATTTGTGGTGCCCACAGGGGTCTATCTGGGTGTTTTCAGAGGAGCGGGAAGTCTAGCCGTGGAGGAGGGAAATCAGGAGGTCCTAAACTCATTCCTACCACGCTCCCTTTTTGCTCTGGCCACTGGGAAGCTCAGAGCCAAATTCCATACTCCCATTCTACATATCTGGTGCCCATTCTCTCTTTCTAAATGTCTGATCTCTTGGTGTCTTTGTTTTTTAGGAGCTGGGATTGGCCAGCATCTGGAAGCCTTTTTAATCTCTTGCTTTTGATTTTCAGTTTAACAACTGTTTAAAATGTTCTTTATTAAATTTCACTGAGTTTTTTTCATTAGGTGGATCATGAATATGTATTTAAGTGTTAAAACTAAATACCACTTGCCTTTTTTGGCCCAGCTGAGGGAAAGTATCACCGAGTTTAGCTCTGAGTTATAGATAAAGTAATTGCTGGCGTCACAGAAGAGTTGAATCACTTGTTTCAATCACCAGAGAAACCGTGTTTGCATTCCAAGAGCAGCTTTGAAATGGCTCTACAGCAGGGAGATCAATAAATCCCAGGACTTAGGTGGAGCCCAGAGGGCATCTCCCTGAATGACTTCATTTTACTCCCAGTAGTTCACCCCACTTAGGGGAGAAAGCCCAAACCCCGCAGCCTGACCCAGGCTGTCCCCACCCTGGCTCACCAGCTCCTTCACCGACTCCCCCTGACCCCTTACACACACAGGTGTCCCTCATTCCAGCCACACCAGACCCCCTGGAGCTTTCTCACCTCCGCTTGTTTCACCACACCCCCTCCTGAGTCCTCCAGCTTCTGTTTATTGAAATCCTTTCCAACCTTGAGTAGCAAACCCAGTGCCATCTCGCCCAGGAAGTCTGCCTTGCACCCCCAGGTGGGCCCTTAGCTGGTGATGTTGCGTCACTTCTGGAGAGAGGAGAGGTGGCCTAATCACTGTCTTGACCATGGGCTCCCCTAAGGCAGTCACAGTGGCCCATTCGCCCCTGACTTCAGCCCCAGCCTGGTGACTGACCGATGGCAGGGCCTTGGTGGGTGCCAGCAGAATGGCTGGTGGCTGAGTAGCAGCGGAGGGAGGAGCCAGGTGAGGAGCAGATGGGGCCGATTTCCATGACAGGTGTGTCTCCTGCCATCCCCAGTTCCCTTAGGCATCAGTGAACTGGCAGTCCTGACTGCTGGGAGTGAAGAGAAAATGCACATAGGGCCGGGG